CCAGTACCAGGATTTGTGTTAGTTCCAAAACCAGTAGCAGTACCAAGACTAGTACTAGTAGCTACTACTAGTTGCTATATAGTTTCGCACTAGTAGTAGTTGCAGTAGTAGCACTAGCGGCAGAAGTAGTAGTAGTAGTAGTAGTAGTAGTAGTAGTAGTAGTAGTAGTAGTAGTATAGTAGTAGTAGTAGTAGTAGTAGTAGTAGTAGCAGTAGCAGTAGCAGTAGCAGCAGTAGTATCAGTAGTAGAAGTAGTAGCAGTAGTAATTAGCCGTAGTCGTCGTAGTACTAGTAGTACTATAAATATACTAAGCCTCTACATATCTGACATATATATATATATATACACACATAGACACATGTTATTTGCCTAAACTTGTCGTAGTCGATATATATATATATATACACCTTTTTAGAATGCTTTCACAAAACGCATTACATCAAACTGAACATTAGCTGTATACCTACATACCTACATACTTCACCTACATACATACATGGCAGCAGCAGCAGCATATGCGACCGGTGTGAGGGCAGGGGTGTTTTCTGGTGATGGTGGTGTTGTGGCGATATATGGCACGCGGACGGTGGCAGCAGCCGTGGCGTGGATAAAGTGACGCCTCCCAATACTAGGAAAACTCGGAGAACATGCAGCTTACCCGCACATTCCGGTCCGCCAGCAGACACTTTAGCCCATTTGTTCTGCTGTCATACACCGGAGCCCACGGCGCGTTGGCCCCAACAGACCGACCGAATCAGATCCGAGAATTTTCCACCCCCCACACCCGGCCAGCGGTGTGCAAGGAACTGCCATACGGGCTCGCAGTATCCCTCTGGTAGGAGGCAAGTGGGTGGTGGTGGTGGATGGTGTGGTGGTGTGGTGGGGGCGTGGTGGGGGGTGCGGGTGTGGTGGGGGGCGTGGTGGGGGCGGCGGTTGTTCTGCAGCAGTCCTGGTACAGTACGTGGTAGGAGTAGGAGTAGTAATGGTAGTGGTAGTGGTAGTGGTACTCAGTCGTTATAGTCGTAGTAGCTAGCAGCAGCAGCAGCAGCAGGAGGAGGAGGAGGAGGAGTAGTAGTAGTAGTAGTAGTAGTCGTCGTGGACGTAAGAGTAAGAGTAGGCAGTAGGAGTACGAGCAATCGAGTAGATAGTGTTGTTGTTTCAATCAAGATAGAACTATAGCGTTGAGAGAAGTTAACTCCAAAACTTAAGAACACAAGTTCTACAGCCTCCAAGGCTGCACCGACATTCCCGGCCCCGAACCAAACCCATCTTTCAGCCCCGGAACCCCCAAATTTCAGGGACGTCGCTCTGAGCCCTCTGGTTTCAATGTGTGCTGATCACAAAGCCCATCCCGCAGGCCAGCCTAAATCGATACAGGCCACCGAAATTCAATGAAATTTAATAACACTCCCAACCCCGACCCAGCATAAATCGAAAGCGCCGAACACCCAAAGGTGTCGTCCGGAACCCTATTCTTTGTTTACCGTGAACCGAATAATCGTTGAAAGACTATCAAATAAACCCTATCCCATCATCCCCGGACCGCCACCAAACCGAAACCACCAGAAACTAGATCAAGTCGTTCGGAATCCTATGGTTCCAATATATGTACCCCACCTACCCCATCCGATGGCCCCCCTTACTAACCCTTACCCAGCCCAAATCGAAGCCACCCAAAACTAACCTGGAAAGCTGGTACCACCTGCTGCGAAACTGCATTAGGCCTGAATCACTATTCCCTTTCACCGGAATCAACTGGAAAGAAGTCCTTCACTTCACGAGCTTTCTTTTGCGATAGATTCGTCCTGGGACCCAGGGATGGTGCAGTGCATGCACACACTGGGCTACATTACATTTGCGAAGAATATCAAATGAGAACAAGAGGCATTGTTTCGTACATGGTATTCGCAATGATGTCCTGTCGTTAGCAGCAGATAATATGCTCGTAACATAAGTTGAGAAATCTAGAAACACATTGACATGCTCTTGCATCATGCACTGATCCTTCTTGCCGATGAACAGCTCTGCCACTGATCTTCCGAACAGAGGAGGATAATGCTGCGATAGCTTGAGGTCTTTGGAACCCGTCACCTTCTCCGGCCCGTCATCGCCAAAATCTCGCTTCCTATAACGGGATTGATTCGTTTGTTGAATATGCAGACGACCAGCAAAGCAGCATGCACTGCGAAACCACCGGCCTGCTAACCAAATCTCCCTCCCACTGTAGGTCAGGTAACGGAAGATGTAGCTGGGGAAGGAACTTGTAGTTGGAGTACAAGATTGTAGGCTTTGGACCTGGTCCGGGGTCACTGACGCTGAAAAGACACAGCACATCTATTCATTCATTCACGGCAGGTCTCTCAGTCAGCCTTACAGCACATCTATAGATATACATGTCACCCTGGAATCTCAGCAGCTGGCTCGTGCCGCCGTAGGCCCCAATCCAGAGGAAGGACTGAATCAAGCGCAAACGTTATCGACTAACATGAAAAGCCTGACCCTAAAGCTGATATAACTGCCTTCCAGATGTCGAAGCGGGCACTCAACCACTGGAAGCTCGGGGCCAGTTCCAGCAAGCTTGATTGAGGTTGCTCTACACACCACGGCACGGCAAGCTCGGAGAGGAAATACAATATGATGCAGAGACGATCCACCATCACATTCCTTGATTGCAGCACTACACACTCGGCGTGTTCACACACACACACACACCACACTTCTTATTGGGGCTTTGGCGGGACTACGGCTTCGTGTGCTGTTGTGTTGCAAGATAAAGCTTTACTGTTACAGGTTTCAGGGTTTTATAGATGTCTGGGAGTTAGGAACTATATAAATGGGTTTATGTTATTCTAGCTACAGCCATCTGGACCGCGTTCAATATTTCGGCGAGACAATACCGGACAGCATGCAACCGCGTGACTGCTTCTCCGCACCGTTTTGTTCGCGTCGAAGCTAGCATTCGATTCCCCTAGCTTGAAGCTACGACACTCGCCAAATTAAAGTCATGCCGCCCAGTCCTTGCTCCCCGGGTTTAGTCGCTGCTCGCTACGGTTTAGGTTTCAGGCCTTTGGGCTACAAAGGTTTTAGGGACTAGGACCTAAAGGGTTTTGGCTTTGGGCTTTGGGTTCAGGCTTGGGGCCAGGTTCATAACACAGGGCCTATACTACAGATTGTAACACACCGATGCACGGACTCGGGCTAGCATACCTTTCGTATCCTTGAAAGAACTTGACCCCGGTTCTCAGAGATCATCCTGCTGCATGGCCGATGGCCTGCTTCGCTTCCAAAAAAGCGCACGGGCACATCGTCTTGACAAGAATCCTCTGCTTGCGTGCTGCTTCAGGGCTTGAGGCTTCGGCTGTTGGAGATTGGGGCTGTGAGCGGTCTATAGCCCTCTTATGGGTTGGGGTTTTCGATATCATATAGCTAAGGCCTCGCAGCATGCTAACCCTTATCTTGGAAGTTGCATCAGGGGTCCTCCTCTCACACGTCCTCCGGAAGGCCGATAACCTCCTTGGTTTTCTTCCAAGCACCTGGAACATCGTCTTGAAAGGAGATCCTCAGCTGCGTGCAGCTATATATGCATGCAACCTTTATTGGCTATTGCAATATTATCACTGCATCCAAAAGACGATCTGCAATAGATGGGTTCTCCGGCCACGTTGGCTTTGGGCTTGAACGCCCTCTGCCGCAAGAGGACTTCCACTTTCGCTTTGCGAAGAGTCCTCGGCACATCTCAAATTCATCAACAGGAATCATGCACCCAGGGTCGATTGAAAAAAACCCAAGCGACAAACCCCACCTGCTCTGGAACAAAACCGCAAGCAATCGGAAATTAACTTTTAAAGGCTTCCAACAGCTCGACATGAAGCGCGATCGTCCAGCGATGCAGTTCAAGACCAGTCTGAGATATATGATGTGCTGTGCTATGAATAGCTCGTGCCCAGCATGCACCCATCATATATCGGAATTCAAAGATTGCAAGCCGGTGCAACCTTTTCCTTGGAAACCCATGCACCCCACTGCATGCGTTGCAACCCCGGGACATCGCGAACACAATAGCCGCAAACAAGACCCAGAGGATTCGGTTTATTATATTTAGATTTACCGTCATGAATCAACCTCGCAAGGCGTGTCATCTTTTTTACGACAGATTGTAGCAACATGCAGTTATGTTTATGTCTGCGGATCCGACGGCCCATGTTGCGCGATGGGCATCAGCCCGGATGCATGCTGGCCTTTGCAGCAAATAATTCCTTCATTATTCAATTCAGATCTGGCAGCATAGTACGCAGTATAGGCCGGAGGCTTTCAGTAGAAGTACTGTAGTATAATGCCAGCTGCACTTGGAAAACCAATATCGCTGGAGTGCAACTCACGATTAACGAGTATATCGGGCTCGGCCGCATGCATAGCTCAACTATAGCTCATGCATGCCTCACACTGTCTTTCCATGTCTCAACAAGTCTTCGCAGGCAACAAGTACTTCTCGACCGTTTCCACACCATGTCCTCCCAGAAGGCTTTTTCAGAAGTACATGTGCCCAACTCATGCATGTGCACGAGAGAGAGAGAGAGAGAGAGAGCTCGAGAGATAGAGAGAGATACCTATATCACACACAAGGAACTACATGCATGGTGTAGATCGACTTCACGATCCTTTATGTATACTTGCAAGCCATATTATAACGGCCTCATCAAACAAAGCAATCCTAGCTTGAGCAAACATAGCCGGGGAGATTGTTAGGTCGCGATGCAAAACTTTCTCAAGTTCCTTCAGGAATCGAAGCTTCACTGCCATCTGAAATCGCTTCCATCCTCAATTCTGTTTATATCCTCAACGTGCGAAATTAAGAATGGCCCCGGAAAGTGCCAACTGAAGAATCCAAGCCGTGACACCAAGAGTAGCATTCGGCAGCCTCAGAAGCATAAGTTTGAATGCAGAATAAACCCAGAAAGTAATCTGCAATCCAATCTTATGGAACAATTTTCTCGCGAACCCTATCCAATTATACAGCCGAGAGGCTGGGTGAAGCTGTGCGCCCCGTGCTTTGTGGAACGTGGAAACAAACAGTGGGGTAGCAGCTCCAAGAGTTCTCGGTACTGCGGCAAAAACGACTCCACCACCTCTTCCTCCGTCGGCTCGGCGTTGCGCTTGCTGCTCTTGCTTGCCTTAGACGAAGTGCTTTTCGGCGTCGTCGTCAAGCTCTTCGGGCTCGACTTCGCGTGCTTCTTCTTGCGAGTCGGTGCCACAAGCACAGGTCCAGCGGGCACAGGGCTCGCTGCCATGCGCTCCTCAAAGCCTCCAGGAACCTGCCAGGCTCCAGCCCTGATACAAACACCAAACGACAGACTCGCCCTTCGCAAACCCGGCTTAGTAGTAAGTAGCACCGTAGAAGTTGTAAGCACAAGTCGTTTGTCGAGTGTTTGTAGAGGTACTCTAGTAGTGCTTGCAGGACATAGAATACTATATAGGTAGTGGTAGCGGTAGTGGTCGTGGCAAGCAGTGTCGGTGGCGGTGATACCGTATGGTCTTGCTCTAGTGCGTGTAGTGTCACAGCCCATGCCCAACTTGCGAATCAAAACATAACTTGACAACCCCGAAACCCATCTGTGTGCACACATGTACATACTACACGCATGCATATGTGTTAATATACTAACACAATTAATGCATTTGTCTTTGTATGTGTGCCATGAATGTAGATATATAGTATATGTGTGTGTGTGTGTGTCTTGTTATTGCAGTCCTCTTCGTATCTACAACATACCGCGCGTGTATCAAGAACCGCCTCAGGCTTCAAAGCCTTGCTCCGAGCAATCCGCTGATCCATCGCACTCTCCTCAATGCGGATCCGCTCCTGCGTGCAGTCATGTCGAAATCGCCGCACATGCACTCATGCTGGGAGCCACTCCTTACCCAGGGACAAAGTCGAGGAGGCCCTCTTCGGGCCTGCGGGGCCAGGACTCTCCTGGCACCGTTTGTGATCAACAAGTGTAAGCACAAAGAATGCCACCGGTTCTGCCAAATGCACTCCTCATCCTCATCCGAGCTCTCAAGGTCTGGAGAGCCAGGATCCTCCTGCAACACACACACACACCCTTGTGAACGAAATGTAGAACATGCCACTCATTCTTAAGACCATGCCGTCCTTCTTGGAACGCGTGGATGGCACCCGAACGACAGGCCACTTGTCCTGCACTGTACACGCAAACAGTTGATGGACTGCCACTCTACCACTGGAACTCAGACTGAAGGTGCATGCGCTCCGGATCCATGGACGGGCTCCGAGTCTCCCGGTTTGGCTCATCATCCTGGACATGTTATGTGCAACCATGTGATCAAAAAAACAATTGCCACCGACTCCCTCGCCTCGAGACCGTCGAACGCGCGCTTGAGAAGAGCATCTAACTCAATGTCGTCCATTTCCTGAATGTGTATTTACCATATGTAGCATATGAAGACAACATGCAAACGAGTGAACACAGCACTGCACTGAAGCGAGCTCTTCCTTCTTCGCAGGTGGCTCTGGGTCACTGTGGCCAAACACCTCATCGAAGTCCTGCTCGTCCGAACTGTCCTCAATGTGTATGTATCACATGTAACTTGTAACACATGTACACAACATGCAAACGAGTGAACACAAGACTGCACTCAAGCATCCTCATCCTTCTTCGCAGGAGGCTCTGCGTCACTGTGACCAAAGACCTCATCGAAGCCAGCCTCAGAACTTACACATACACCTTGTTTGACTCCCGTGTTTTCTTACGCATCAACATTAACACATGCAGTCCAGTGGCTGAGTCGGGGAGCGGGTCATCCTGCTCGCCCGCACTGAACCGTACCGTCCCCTGAATACTCGTAAGCGTCGGGGTTTTTGCGGTTTAGGGTTTGGGCATTGATCGGCTCAAGGCATATATGGTTATATTTCGGAGTAAGGCGGTTATTTCTTTAGGAATCACGGCTTAGGGTGCATATCGGGTGTGGAAGGTTTAGGTTTTATGCAGGCTCGCAGGTTTCAGTTTTCTTGATTTGGTTAAGTGGCCGCCTTCCGAGTTAGTTCAAGACGGTTGCCTAAAGTCCGCCCTAGCTAGGTTATGGGTTTAGACTCTGGTGGCCGAGACTCCGTATATATATATATATATACATATGTACAGGTTGGTAGAGTTTGTATGAATAGGGTTTGGGTGTTTTGGATTTATACTCGGGACTTTAAGTTTTACTGCTTTGAACTGTTGAACCATTGTCTCAAGGATGCCATCCAAATTTGTTACTGAAAAGTACCCCTGTCGCCTGGGATCGAGCATCCTCCTCGCCGGAGCTTGACGCGTCACTTGAAGGCCGTGGCACATCCTCCGGGCCGGCAAAGGGATCCTCGGCACGTTCATTCTCGGACTCCGAGCCTTCACCCGGCTTCCACAAAGTGCCTTCCTCGTTTGTTGCCACGGTCGCCTTGTCATCACCTTCATCACCCCAGAAATCTCCAGAGCAATCTGGCTCGCCTGACGACTCCTCTCCCTCTGCGAAAGGCTCTGGCTGTGGTTCGGCTGCCGGCTTTCTGGCTCTCGAAGTGTTGACTCTCATGAAGTTTTTGAGGGTCTGCAGCTGCGAGTCCCGTGAGTACGGGGAGCTGGACCACAGCCTAGGGTCGATCGCAAATTAACCCCTGCATGCAGGTAGGATTATGCATGAGTGCTGCAAACCTGATCAATGCCTGAGTGCAGAAAGGATGCTTTCGCAAGGTCGACCATACTTTCTGCATTTTCAGGACCCCGATCTTCATCGCAGCATCCGTCCAAGCAGGTCCAATCGAGGCTTTCTCCACGAAAGCCTCCAATATGGTGGTGGCCTCTTCTATGCTGGGCGGACGGACCTGGAACGGAGGGTAGCGAAGCACATTGAGAAAGATCCAAAAATTGGCTGTCCTCAGTTGCAGGGATGAATGCATGCATGAGCGCAATGCGTGCATTGGTTCCTTGCAATCGTGGCACACATCATCTGCGTTCATATCTTCGTAGTCGCCTGCAACGATATCGTTGAGCGGATCGCCACGAGCTGCCGCGGCCTCGATCCGCTCCTGCGCATGTTCAACATGCAGCGGATGTGCACTGCAACATCATGACTGCCTGCAATCTGATCGATCCTTCACTGCGGTCGGCAGCGACATATTCATCACTATCCCGATGGCGCGCAGTTCAAGCACCGCTCGCTCTGTATGGGTGGTCGCCATGGCCGCGACAAAACTTCAAAGCACGAACCGAAAAAAGCTATAATCAGAAATACTATCACACTGCTTATGCTTGTTCGAACGAGAGGGAAAGAGAGAGAGAGAGAGAGCACAAACTGCCAAACTGAACTTTTACAATACAAAGTTATCTGCCAATACTGCCTCGATCTGCCAAGCGTGCATGCATCTCCGACATCGGACTCATCAATGCAAGCCGAGTTTCCCCTCCCGAACGACGGGGACGCTTTCGTTCCCCTCGACAGAAGCAGGGGATCGGCCGGTGCTGGCCCTGATCAATACATGCATGCACAGCACAGATATAAATGCCTTGCCACAAGATCTTTGCAAATCTGCATCTGCCACGCAGCCTCGATATCCAGACCCAGCTGGAGCATACTGGCGCAAACCAGGCTAATCCTCCCTGCGCACAGATTCGAAACCGCAATGAGCACATTTATTTGAACTGCCATAAATCCATCCAAATGCTGCAAAGCCGCACGACTGTACAATCGCAGACAAAGCGAGATGCACAAGGCAAAACCCAGGCCGCTGAGGAAATCTTGCTCGGGTCCATCCGATATCTCAAAGGTCGCGGCGTCGTAGGCATGTTGCCTTATATACATCCAAGGATCTGTGCACTCATAAGCCACACATACACACATTCAGGCAACTGTTAAGTCAGTTTCGATGCCGAAAGCCGTTGGCCACAGTCTTGACCCCGGCAAAGACTTCCAAGCAGTCCAGCTCCTGGCTAAAGCAAACGAACTGTGTAGTTTTATGTGAGGTCTACGCACTTTGCAGCACACAGCTGTAAGGTTATGATCCGAGCGGCCACGTGGGGCATAGTCATGTTTCCCATGACCAGGCTGAGCAGGGAGACCAGGCTGTGAGGCATGCCAGCGTTCACCAGGAGGTGCAACCTACGGAGCAGGTCCTACGAAACGAATACACACTGCAAGCTCTCACGCAGCTCCAAGCTGTATGCCGTCAGGGAACACACTCCTGAAACGTGCTGGAATGCGACCCGTTTCTAAAAGAGGCAGAGGTCGCTCGGGCTCCGGTACCGGAGACCGTCGTCGCTTTCCATGCCTCCTTCGAATTTCGAACCCCTGCAGCTGCATCTTGGGCAAAACTTGTGGCTTGAGCACATAAGCCTTGTTGGTTGCAGTCTCTTTCGATCTGTGAAGCCAGCAAGCAAATAATCTGCAAAAGAAACGCACACTGCACACAGCTTCACATGAGCATATGAAAAACTTGCAGGGGCGAGTTGGTGGCACCTCTCTTGCAGGTGCTGAAGCATGGCCATTCGAGCAGACATCTTTCACGGCTGCTGACCCGCAGGTCTGCAGCAGGCTGCCCCCACCAAGACACATGAGGCCGGGCATGCATTTGCACAAGTGAGGAACGTACAGTACCGAACACGTGGCTACGATGCCTTGTGGCAAAAACCTTGCATCTACTGACTGAAACTCATGGACACTGATCGAGGCATTACCATCTTAAATGTGTCTGCCCTAAATTTAACCGACAGCTTCCACCAATTGCCAGCATGCTTTGATGGAAAGCATGCAGACCGCCGGACGACATGCAATGCAGATCTCGGCCAGTCCTGGCTTAGAGGAGGATCGTTTCCTTTTTTGGGGGTCGAATGAGTGTCGGCTATACCAGGTTTTTAGGGATTAGGGCTTAGGGTGCCGGGTTCATGGGTCCTAGATATGGGAGTCTAGGACCCATGAATCCAGCTTTTTTTTTTATCCTCGCAGGTCGCCGAACACATGTCCCTTTGTCAAAGGTTCCGGGACATGCGAAACAAAAGCAAAACCAGCCGTGCACATCCGGGGCAAGCGTACAATTCTCTGGTCAACTTTGGTTTGACTCCTGCAAAACCTTCGGCAGAGACTGCATCGTCTTCCATCCACCAGCACATCTACTGCACGAACACCATCCGTGCAACGGCTTTTGCCGTTTAACTTGACACGAACTGAACCCCGAATGCCGTACAAAAAGGAGAAACGACCGACGTACTAATAACCCCGCGCGAGGGACTTACGCTGCATGTTGGGCCCCGCGAGGATC